CCCTCATACCTCTTAAATTGATGACAAGGTTGACCAGATAAGCAGCTGTCAGGGCTTTTTCGTCTTTTCTGTGCTGTGGCTTCAAAGCCAGGGCCCATTTTAATTACAAATTTAAACTGCACGTTAAATCATCATTATGCAAGGCCGCCCATAGCACTGCACTATTATTATTTCTGAATAGGGACCCGCGGCCGTCGGAGCGTTGCCTCGGATTATCATGGCAACGCTCCGCGTGGCACGCAGACCATGCTCGCAGGAGTTAGAGAGAGGGAAATTCTGTAATGTGCTCCTGCAGTCTGCTGGGCCCCCTCTGCAAATACAGGGAGGGCCCCACAATGCCAACGGACCACCAGGGATGGAATCTCCCCCATCCCTGAACCAGGTAAGAAGCAGGGAGGGGGGAGAAACATTTATTACATTTACATTATTACATTACATGCATATACTAGTAAACACACACACACTCTGCATTCACTACACTAACACACACTCTGCATTCACTACACTAACACACACTCTGCATTCATTACACTAACACACACTCTGCATTCAGTACACTGACACACACTCTGCATCCACTGCAATGACACACACTCTGCATCCACTACACTGATACACACTCTGCATCCACTACACTGACACACACTCTGCATTCACTACACTGACACACAATCTGCATCCACTGCAATGACACACACTCTGCATCCACTACACTGACACACACTCTGCATTCACTACACTGACACATACTCTGCATCCACTACACTGACACACACTCTGCATCCAATACACTGACACACACTCTGCATTCATTACACTGACACACACTCTGCATTAACTATACACACAGCATCCACTACACAAACATCCTGTATTCACAGTACACACACTACATCAACCACACATTCAAACACTCTGCATTCACTATACAGAGACACTGCGTCTAATACACACACTACATCCACTACAGACACTGCATTCACTAAACACATTGCATCTAGTACACACAAACACACACTACATCTACTACTCAAACACACTATGCGTTCACTATACACACTGCATCCGCTACACAAACACACACTCTGCATTCACTGCACGGCCAGGGGGCGGGGGCCCAGACCTTGTGCTTTGTCAGGGGCCCCAAAATTTCTGGTGGCGGCCCTGCGTGTGGCTGCACTGTAAACTGTCTACAGTCTCCGGTAAGTCAGGCTCCTCTCTGCCTATTTGCTCTGCTCCCCTCTACTTGCTCTGCTCCCCATTACTTCAAGTAACTTGCTCTGCTCCCCCCTACTTGCTCTACTCCCCCTTACTTGCTCATTCCCCCCTTACTTGCTCTGCTGTCTGCTCCGCCTTACTTCAAGTTACTTGCTCGGCCCCCCCTTACTTGCTCTGCTGTCTGCTCTGCCTTACTTCAAGTTACTTGCTCAGTCTCCCCTTATTCCTCTGCTGTCTGTTCCGCCTTACTTCAAGTTAGTTGCTCAGCCCCCTCTTACTTGCTCAGCCCTCCCCTTACTTGCTCTGCTCTGCCTTACTTGCTCAGCCCCCCTTATTTGCTCAGCCCCTCCTTTACTAGCTCACCCCACCCTTATTTGCTCAGCCCCCGTTATTTGCTCACCTCCCCTTATTTGCTCAGCCCCCCTTATTTGCTCTGCTCTGCCTTACTTGCTCAGCCCCCCTTATTTGCTCAGCCTCTCTTACTTGCTCACCTCCCCTTATTTGCTTAGCCCCCCTTATATACTCACTGCCCCCTATTTGCTCAGCCCCTATTTTGCTCAGCCCACCTTACTTGCTCAGCCCCTGTTGCTTGCTGACCCCACCCTTATTTGTTCAGCCCCCATTACCTGCTCACCCCTTATTTGCTCAGCCCCACCTTACTTGCTCACACCCTTATTTGCTCATTTATTTGCTCACCCCACCCTTATTTGCTCACCCCCTTACTTGCTCACCCCACCTTACTTGATCAGCGTACCCCCTTACATGCTCAGCCCCCCTTACTTGCTCACCCCACCCTTATATGCTCAGGCCCCCCCTTACTTGCTATGCTCTTTTGTCCTCTTGCTCTTCTCCTCAGTGCTCTTGCTCTGCTCACTCTGCTTCCCTTTGCTTGCCTTGCTCACCCTTTGCTTGCTCTCTGCTTACGCTCTGCTTTCATGCACAGCAAAGTGCCTTCCCACTCCGCTCCATCCCTCACTCTCCCTCTCTATGGTCTGAGGTCTACCTAAGGCAGAGCTGCCCAAAACCACTAAAATCATCAGGGAGGTTCTGACAGAGAGGTGAGACTCCCACCTCGTTGCTTGCTCGCGGCTGTCAAAACTTCCCTGATAATAAAAACAGCAACGCTGGCTACCTATCTTTAGCCTAATAAATTTATGTTAAATTGGGGGGGCGCAAAGGGGAGGTATGACCCTTTCTGGGCCCCCCATAGCAGTGTCACTCAGGGAAGGGTCAAGATATTTTCAAACTCGAGTACTGTATGGGAGCATGCTGTGCATGTAATCTCCCACCATAGATTAATAAGCACAGTTTTGAGGCATACCAAATGCACACAGAGATACAGTACAAATTCACAATCTAGTAATGTTGCTTCAAAGCATTTTCAAAAATGCGGCTATTTTAGAAACAAGTCTCATGCCGATTGATCCCTCTGTTCTGCAAAAGGAAAGGTGTGCAAAATATGTGGGAACTTAAACCACAGTTGAAAGATGACAGTTCAGTGACACAGGACAGGCAGAGCTCAGACATAGAGCAGGCTTTTACCAACATTTGAAGGTTTGAATTAAGTTTTGAATGGGGTCACAGCCATAGTCGATGACATTCTAATTTGTGAGAAAACCAAAGCTGAGCATGATAAAAACCTCACAATTCTGGTACAGCATTCCAGAGAGAGGTGTCAAGTGCAATTCAGAAAAGAGCATCATCTGTGCTACAGAAGTGACTTTTTGGGGGAATCTCTTCACTATTGATGGAATAAAGCCAGACCCTGCCTGTAAGGGACATGGACCCACCTGAACTTAAGATAGAACTTGAGACGGTGTTAGGCACGGTTAAGTCTCCAAATTTAATCTCGGCCTTGCCGATATCAATGCACCACTGAGCCAGCTCCTGAAGGAAGCATGTAAGTTTGTTTGGAAAGCCAAATATCGGCCAGGCAAAGTCTGTCCTGTTGCAGACACACTGTCCAGAAAGTCACTAACTGACCAAGATAGGAGCCTCAGTGAAGATATGGACATTCAAGTGCTTACAGTGTACAGCAGTCTTCCTGTCAGTTACCCCAAGTTAGAGGAATTCAGAATTCAAACTGAAAGGGACCCATTGTTCCAGGCATTAAGAGGTGTTATACAATGACGTTGGCCTGAAGAAAGACAATAATGTCCTCTGAGTGTGTCAGAGAAGACAGTGGACATCCCTGCCTTATCCAAGTGCTCAGAGGAAACGGGGTCTGTCGGTGCATTCAAATTGGTATCTGTGTTTTGATTTTTAAACCATTTCCTCAATGCAGACTTCACCTCTTCATCCCAGCTAAAGCGCTGGCCCTTCAAGTGTTCCTTTAGTTTTGGGAACAGATGGAAATCACAAAGAGCCAGGTCTGGGCTATACGTCGGATGCGGCAGCACTGAAAAGTCAAGGCATTAAATTGCATCTTTTGTTGCTGCACTTGTGTGAGGCCTGGCATTGTTGTGTTTAATTTCCCATACCAATCTGTTTGATTCTTCTTTTTAATACAGTAAGAGTTTCAATGTAACGTTCAGAATTTATTGTTCCTTTTTCAAGAAAGTCTGCAATGGCAACAAGAGATGCAATTAACACCTGGACTTTTCAATGCTGCCGCATCCACCATGTAGCCCAGTTACCAGAGGGCGCTGTGTGAGGCATGAGAGATGGGGCTGTGTGAGGCGACAGAGAGGGCGCTGTGTGCTCCTCTGCTGGGTCCCTGCTGCCTGGTCTTATTGAGACACCCGATGTGTGAAGCAGTGCCTGCATTAATAAGCTCTTATGTCAGTTAGCTCTGGAACTAGCTGGGGAGAGCAGTGAGAGGCAGATCGGCGGGAGACACCTCATGTTACAGCCATGCCTGCCGCCATTAGTGCAAAGTAAAACAGAGCTTTATACGGACAGGCATCACACAGACAGCTCGTCCCCAGCTCCCCTTGTATAGCAAAGTAAGGCAGGCACCCAATGTTAGAAGAGGTGCCTGCCTTACTTCAGTGTAAGAGACCCCTCACACCCTGCCCAGCACCCCAGTTACATAGTGACAGGCATGACTCCAAAAGCAGATGCCTGTCACTAAATCAGCCTGGCCAGTGAGGAGAGAATATTTTATAACTAAAAAAATCTCAATGCATGTTTTTTTTTCTCTCTCTCTGTAATTATATATATCAAAGTTATATCAAATCGAACACTTTGAAATACTTAAGATAGATCACACTATCATTTCCCTTATTTTCTACCTTTATGTCATTTTTTATATCACAAAGGGCATTTAAGGCGTCATACCCACCTACTTTTCTACTGTATTTTCCTACTCATGATTGCAAGAAAAATAGGGGACAAGTCAAATCCCTGTGTCCAGTCTTGTTCCCAACCAACATGAAATTTCACCAGCCACCACTGATTTTTATATCTATTTTCAAAGCAATCAGCAATATTAAATGGCAGGTTGATATAACCAAGTGTTAACTAACCAGTATCGGTAATTCATAGTTGTCTCTTTGATCTCTGGAGGCTAATGACTGTCAGTTGGATACATTTGAACTGAGCCACTCATTTTGAATCACCATATAAAATTAGTGTCAATGTATTTAACCAGGAAGCATGTTCAGTTTTCAATAGCTTCTAAGTATCTCCTGGTAACCATTGATAACCATTAGGAAGGTCATGTACCTACTTGAAATAAGATGGAATAGAAATTCTATGATGGGGGGAGAACTAATAAAAAATAAACATTACTAATTAAATATAATTTAAAGAAATATGGAGCTAAAAATAACACAAATAACGTCAATCAGATATAGAAAATGTTTTATTTTACATGACGTGATCACATGAAAGGAGAACTATAAGCACAATTAGCACTAAAGTACATTTATATAGGTATGGTACAAGACAGCTTTGGATTGAGTCCCTCCATTTTTTGTCAGACTGTCTTTGAATTTCATTTCTAACCAAAAGCTCACCCCTGAGTTAATGCATAAATTAGTTTTTGCATAATCTGCCCAGGTTTGGATAGCAGTGAGAGGCTGTGAGTGTTGGATGCAGCTTAGCTCACAGCCTTTTATTAGTACCTTTCAGTATTGTATAGATATACTAGAGAGACTGTAGCCAAAGACAAAACTCTTGCACAAAAAACTACTCCAATAAACCTGTAGTAGTTATGGTGCTTAAAGTGTCCCTTCAAATATTAGCGGCTGTGATGTATCTTGCTCCAGTCAGGGAAAACAAGACTACAAAAAAGGCAGAGAGATAATTATTGTCCAGAACAAAGTCAAGACCAAAGTGATGCTATGTTGACCTCATTCTTCTTTCTCTTCACCATGGGTGATGATGTGCACAAGATTTTTGTAGTTTAAATTTCCAGTAACATCGGGTGGAAAAGCTGTAAACATCTGATCAACCTATTGAAAAAAAGAAAAAGAAAATGTGAACATGTATATAGAGGTCTACATTTCCACATCTCTAGAAAGACTAACACAGTGCTGTATTGTGTGTAGTGTAGAGGTCACTCCAGTCTGATGCTGATGTGTTTGCAGTGAAGCCAGCATTCCAGCAAAACAAACAAGGATTCCCTTGCTTGATAAAGAGTCCCCAAGCTCAGCCAGTCACTTTACAGAGAGGCAGAGCTAGGCAGGATCAGAGCGTCGGTGCTACAATAGTGTAACATCCATGGAAATCTAGGAATGGTGTCACTGAAATGCTGGGCAAGAGGTAAATATATAATAGCTCCTAAAGCAAAGCAATATATGATTTACTGCTTTAGGAGCTCTAATAGCTAAAGTTTACCCTACCATGACAAATTTACAGAGTTATTTACAGACAGTATATATTGGAATGTGACAATTTCAAATTCAAGGCTTAGAATTTTGAAATTTTACTTTGTTAGGCCTATTTTCTACGGAACTCTATTGGAGAATATTATGAGGGCATTTCACTAGAAACCAGGGTAGGTGTCATGCTTGTAAAAGACTTACTCGTGGAGCATAAGTCATTAATATTAAGTAGGCAACGTGCTAAACAAAACGCTCACTGCAGAGACATATAAAAGCCTGGAATAAAGGTAAGAGGTCAAGGAAAATTTAAAATGTAGAGATCGCATTGCTTTATCTCCTTTTTCATATTTTTCCTTTTTCATATTTACATTCAGGAAATGCTTATTGGAGAGTGTTTCATTTAATGCTAATAAATTGTTAAGATGCCCACAGTACAAATACTGATGTCTAAATATTTGTATCAAATCTTGGACTAAAATAATACATTATTCAAGCTGTTTAGTAATTCTTCTAGATGGCCATTTGACTTAATACTTGATACTATAGGCCTCAAGCCAACTTTAGCTTAAAGGGACACTGTAGACACCCAGACCACTTCAACCCATTGAAGTGGTCTGGGTGCCAACTCCCATCACACTTAACCCTGAACGTGTACTTATTGCAGTTTTTATAATTTGCAATAATTACCTTGCAGTGTTAAGTCCTCCTCTAGTGGCTGTCTACCAGACAGCCACTAGAGGGACTTACAGCTTCTTATACGACCTTTGGTCGTCTAAACGACGCTGGATGACCTCCAGCATCTGTGGAATCCCCATAGGAAAGCATTGAATAATGCTTTCCTATGGGGAGATCCTAATGCGAGCGTGGACATTACTGTGCATGTGCATTAGGTCTCCCCCCATCGGCGGGGGAGGAGCATGGGTGGAGCTGAGCCAGCGCCAAGGGACATCGGTGCTGGACCCAGGTAAGTGACATAAGGGGTTATTAACCCCTTCTGTACCATGGGGGGTGGGTCTTGACAGAAGGGGAAACTATAGTGCCAGGAAAACGAGTTTGTTTTCCTGGCACTATAGTTTCCCTTTAATGAAACTGTTTATGACTGTTTAAACATCTACACACAGTGTTATTCACTTAATGGGAATTAAAAGTGAACTGAAAGTGATTTCAGAATTTATCACCCAAAGTAGCCAAACTGGAAGCATATATGACATATACGATTTTCCAACTTAGCTATTTCAACCTTAAAGGGACACAATAGGCATCAAAACAACTTTAGCTTAAGGAAGCAGTGTTGGTGTATAGATAATGCCCCTGCATTTTCACTGTTCAATTTTCTGACATTTAGGAGTTAAATCACTTTTATTTATGTCTATGCAGCCCTAGCCATACCTCCCCTGACTGTGATTAAAAAAAGCCTGCATGACAAAATGGTTTAATTGTCAATCAGATGTTAACTTTCTGTACAAGTTTGTATCCTCTGCTCTGTAAATTGGACTTTTATCATACAAAGCTCCTGCAGGGTCTAGAAGTCTATCAACAGGGGATAAAAAATTGTAAATTAAACTTAATGTGTGAAATGAAGTGTAAATGTCAGATCTGTCTCTACAGGAAGTGTTTAGGAAGACTGTGGAAGTCACATGCAGGGAGGTTTGACAAGAGCTGCATAAACAAAGTGATTCAACTCCTAAATGTATTAAGATAAAGTTGTCTTTTTGCCCATATTAACCCTTTAAGCAAAGTAGAGTAAATTAAGTCTTACCTCTTCATTTGTAAATCTTTCTGCTTGAGTCATAAGCATTTCTCTAATGCTAAAAAAAATAATTCAAAAATAAAATAATTAAAAGTTAAAATTTAGCCTGAAGAGATATTAACAAGAATGCAATCTACAATGAGACAACTTACTAATCTGATTTTAGAAGTCCACTACCTTCAGGATCAAACACTTTGAAAGCATTTAATATGGTTTCTTCTGGATCAGCTCCTGAAAGACAATACATACATGAGTCATGGTTAGAACATTTTATGGGAATTGTGTTTTTAAGTACATTTTACACTGAATTAGAAAATAACTCCAATTTATTTATTTAGTATTATGGAACACATATATACATAGGATACATTTGCTGTTTGGGGATCCTTAAAAAATAAAATGGGTACATAGTCCCTGTTCCCTGAACCCTGCAAAGGTAATTATTGCAGTTAATTATTGCAGTTTATAATAATAAACTGCAATAATTACCTTTGAGGGATAACCACCTCTAGTGGCTGTCTACCATACATACATACACCTCTAGTGGCTGTCTACTAGAGGGACTTCCGTGGCCTTTGGTGACTTTTGACGACTATAGTTTCCCTTTTAGTACAAACCGTTGTGTTAACCTGATCATTAGCAGGAATACACAAAAGACAAGACGTCACCCATTGAGACTGGAAGGAATGCATTTTTGCTTACTGCAGAGGAAATTCGTCCTTACAGTAAGATCAATAAAGATATGGAATGCTCTACCCAAAGAGGTTGCCTTATCAGATTATGTAGATCTAAAAAAAAAAAAGCTTGGATGTTTTTTGGGAAAAAAAGAATATTCAAGTATATAATTAACATTTATTTTAACAGGTTGTTAATCCAAGGAGAAATCGTATTGCTACTATAAAGTTTAGGAATTTATTTTTTATCTTTATGCAGTTTAATTGGCCATTGCTTAAAATGTTTTTGTTTGCCTTTTTGAGAATCTACAACATAAGATATGTTTTAATGGTTGAACTCACTTGACTTGCATCTTTTTTCAACCGAGATTGCTATGTAACTATGTAGTTAACTTACAATTTTTTTAGTACTTTTTATTCAGTCATGCATGCTTTATATAAATATTGGAAGATACGTTTTAGAGATAATGTGCCATATGACCCAATTAATTCAGTTTTAGAAACAATTTATCTTAGCCAATTAATTCAGTTTTAAAAACTATATGATATCACAGTTATGAAATCAGTTTTAGGTTTAATATGTTATCTCAACCAATGTATTCAGTCCAAAACAAGGATTAAACTGATATAGCTATTGTCAAAGGGGTATTTCACCAATCACTGTATATGAAGAGATGGTGTCAGGAGATCCCAGGTATGTTTAAAGTGAAACCATGTTGACTACTTAAGTGATAGGTCCAGGTGACTAGTGGTACTATAAACATTACAGGGCTTTGTACTGGTATTGGTGCTTTGGCCATGCTTTTAAGTTGACTCTATTATTTTATATCACAGTTGTTAAATTATGGTATACATGATGCACAATCATAGAGTGACCTTCAGGTACTGAGCACTACCTTTGTAGATGGGAAAAGGTTATGGTCCTTGATGAGTTTACAGTATGTCCAAAGTAGGAAGAATAAAGTTATTTTGTGAACATATCCCTCTCCTACCAAATGTGCCATGGTTCAGAGTTAACTAATAATACAATCATTAAGTCTAAATTGTAAAGAATAGTTAGAAAAACATTTCTGTAGCAGTTCATTTCACCAAGGCGTACCTTTCAACTTCTCACCAAACATTGTCAGAAATACAGTAAAGTTAATTGGTCCTGAAGCTTCATTTAGCATCTCGTCCAGTTCCTCATTTTTTACATTCAAGCGACCTTTGGAAAGACAATATTGAGTCAAGAGTTATTCTTAGTTCGGACCGCACTCTTTTACTTTTTGTGAAATTATCATTCTGTATATTTTGAAATCCTCCTAGACCAGGGGTAAGCAACATTTGGCACTCCAGATGTTGTGGACTACATCTCCCCTGATGTTTCACCAGGATTAATACTGTAAAAGCATTATGAGAGATGTAGTCCTCAACATCTGGAGTGCTGAAAGTTGTCTACTCCTGTGCTCGAGTATGATAAACTGAAATTAACTTTAGTCACTAAATCAAGAACATTCAATGAATGGACCTCTGGCTTACAGAGAACTATGGCTCCCATGACACTTGGTCACCCACTTGAATCACTTTTGGCCCACATTTTCCATTCTTCTAAAAAGACACGTCATGCATCATAACAACTACAACTTATTGTGCTATGTGTGAAATCGCCAAACACCTTTACAATTATTATAAGCTGTAGTGGCTATGGTGCTTGCATTGTTCCTTTTATAAAATAACCAGGAGCTCAAAACACCACTGACTGAAAGACACCTGAGTGATAAACTGATGCCGACTACTAAGCTGTCTCTTACAATCATGGAGGAAGGGGGGGACTACATTATATGGGAGAAATTATTTGGAGAGGTACACTGTTTCCTTTCTCAGACATATGCTCTAAAGATAACCTTTTCAATTGCGAATTTATTACAAATCCTTCACTTCCTTAACAACCAAAATGCAAGAGGGAATTCACCCAGTCCCAATGGTGTCCAGTCTCTCTCCATTAGCATCCAAACATGTCTTAGCCAGAAGTGGCATGCTATAAGATCTCTCGGCCTGTTATAAGATTTTTGCCCCATAAATATCCTGAGCCATGCACCTATCAGACTATAAGGGCTCTGGAACTGGGGAGGGCTATATTGGAGGAGGACTGGGAAGAGGTTGCCACCATGTAGAAAGGGTTCACACACTCCCACTCTCATTGCAATACAAATTGATAATTAGGTGGTATACCCACAAAGCTTTCCCACATATTCCAATCAAGAGGGGAAGCGTTTTGGAGAGTGTGTGATGGTAGAGGGGATTATCTATATATTTGGTAGGCTTGCCCTCTTCTAGAGTCATTCTGGAGGGGCATCTTTACTTTAACTTCAATCTGCATACTTAACCTGACCCAGAAAACAGGTTACCGCATTCCTTCACAAAATCGCTTTAGGATATGCTTTGCCACCTCTTTATAGCCACTAAAATAGCTATTACAAGGTAGAGGCTTTCCTCAAATATTGCCACCATGGTCCAGGTGTCTGAGATCTAACTAGCACATAGGGTGCGGGAACAAATGTCCCATTGGCAGCAAACCTCTCTGCGCCACTTTAAGCAAATTTGGGGATACTGGAATTCCTTGGCTCATGTGAGCTCTGGGGAAGTAGGAGGGCCAAATCCTAATACTTACTGTTGACACCGACAGGGCATGTAAGCAGTTATGGCATATTCTCAGTTTTCTTCTCTTTTGTTCACTGTACTGCCATACTATGTACCAAATATAATTATTCTGCTTTTCAGTTTCTCTTTTTTTCTACACCTAAAGTGCATCACTATCATTGCTAAACAGTCCTGTATTGTCATGTATCAATATGTATAAAGAACTCTAATACAAAAAATGTTTCTGGTCTCATCTGATTCTGTACAGTTGAGTTTTATGGAGGATGTGGTTGAGCCTCCAGTAGCAGATGCTCTCATCACTTGGGATCAGTAAAACTGCTGAATAAGCAAACATTGGCCATGTTGCAGCTGGTACTAGCCTATTGGCAGTCCTATTCACATTGTTGTCATGGTTCTGGTATAAAACCTTTTTCATCCATCTCCAATTTGTTTAGAAGGGGGGCAGGGCAGGGCTGTTGACTGAGCAGGATGCATGTTGCATGGGGCTCCTCAAAGAAACCCACCAAAACCGTTTAAAATTTATACTTACAGCCTTAAATCAAGATCCCCATTTCTCTTCTGTTCTGAGAACACTATCCCCTTGTTTTGGACAGTGTTGTACGTACGTACGTACGCAGGGTTATACCGGTCCTCACCAACTGAAATGTTCAGTTATCTACTAGAATCTTTACTTTGGGTGCTCTGCAGGCTGAAAATGTGCAAAATCCTCAGCGCCTCAAGATCGCAGCTACCCATGACGCATCAAAACTATCGGCAAAGGAGACACTAAAAGGGTGGAAAGAGCCTTTTCTCATAGTATTTGATGAGATCTCTGCTGCTGCTTGGAGGAGACTCAAGGAGCGGGTACCAGACCAGAATCCAGTGGTGCTTTGGTCCCTTGTTCCCTTCCCAGGCAAGGACCAAACTGGGTGCAATCCCAGGATGCAGTCCACAACCTAGGGAAGCTCTGAATAAGGAATTTTTGGGGACATTGCCCTGCGCACACAGTGTAGTGGGAAGGTTGGACAGTGCCTGCTGGTTCACTGGTACTTTTGTGGGATGGGGATCTGAGAGTGCAAATGTGCCTGTTTGACTGATCTCACTTGGGTCTGCCAATTTTTAAGATGCATTCAATACACCTTCCCTTGCCTAGGCTTAGGCTGATATATTGCTATCTCATGCAAATTGTTTTACTAATTAACTCAAACAGCAGTATTTCAGTTATTTTTCCTTTTGTTTGCGTTATTGTTTGAGTTTACAAGTCTAGTACATGTTGAACTGTTGACGTTTCTGTTATGTTTACTTGGTGATTCCATTTTTAGGCCAAATGCAACATAGCCTTTCAGATTCTTAGTAAAAGTATAGCAAACACAGGCCTAATCTTAGTAAAAGTATAGCAAACACAGGCCTAATACTATCGATTATTTACTATCTAAAATGTTTTTTGACATGTGTACCTTATCCAACATTGAATCTATTTTGACTTTGTCCCATGGTGACATGTTTATATTTGCCTGAATCTGTGTTGATGAACTACAAAAATGTAAAACTAAAATAAATATATAAATACATGTTTAGGAGATACGTGTCACTCACACCTGCTCAACCAATTACCACACTGAGTGAGAGGAGACTGACTAACACAACACTGTAAAGACTGACAAAGGCAAGCAGAATGCAGATTGACAGCATAAAGAGAAGGACATTCAAACGCTGGGATGGACAGGAGACTGGAATATATATATATATCTACATAGTGTTCAAGTAGAGATTGTAGCCGTATTAGTCCAGTGATATAGATGTAAAAAACAGATAAAATCCGTATCTTGTAATACCTTTTTTATTACATACATGCATAAGAGTATGGGAAAGCATAGGTCTACACATAGTACATAATATATATATATATATATATATATATATAAAATACAAAACACCCCTGCACTCCAACTAGAGAAATAAAAATAGTACCTGGTGCTCTGGTGGCTTAATCATAAACAAAGTGAAAATACCGGCACTCAAGGTTTTCCAGAAGATAACTTCTCCATTTATTGCGGAAAAAATTCTAAGTTTCAGCTCCACTGGGGAGCTTTCATCCCCAGTGGAGCTGAAACGTTGAATTTCTTTCCGCAATAAATGGAGAAGTTATCTTCTGGAAAACCTTGAGTGCCGGTATTTTCACTTTGTTTATATATATATATATATATATATGTATGTATGTATAGAGGCAGAGGCATTAGGAGATTACGTGGATAAGGTTTTAAAGGGAAGTAGGAATGGGGATGAAACAAGAGGCTGGAAGAGCAGAGAGTCTCATATAAAATCTTCATTAAAATAAAGGTTGTGCGCAGATTTCAAAGCTTTATGCACACTATGCAGACTTTTTTTAGTGCTCAATCTAGAAACAAATCCATTCCAATGTTGAATGCAAGACTGGGTAATAAAGAAGTTATTTTTATCTGTTCTTAATGGATCGAACAACTGTATTCCTTCTGATGATAATAATGGTAAATTACTCTAAAATGATCACACGGATCATGTTACCAAATTCATGTATGTATAGACATTCGGCATTTAGGACATGCCATCTGTGGAATTCCTGCTATGAGCAGAGAATGATTTGTTCCCATCATGTCTATGGCTCTACGTATAGGCTTGTGAATGCAGTCTCCCAGACGTGGAGATGTGGAGATATCTCTGTATGAGCATACATTAATCCACCCTTCTTCTAACTGTAACACTATACAGTCGCCTTATGTGAAAGCTAAAAGTGTGTTCTCTGAAATCAGAAAATTATTTAAACTTTGTTTAAGCTGTCAAATAACTCTTTTGAAGCCTTTTCATATATCAGATATCATTTTAAATGATGTTTAAATATCACATCCAAAATATTTTAAAATAGGATATTTTCCTTCATTACTTCTGTTATTTCACTAGAAACATATTGGGTACAGGCTTATACGTGAGATTATGAAGCTGGAGATGGATTTTGATTCATTGGCTTATTGTCAGTCTTGTACTATACTCTGAGAATGTCCACACATTGTTCTGGTGAGTGTCTACATTTACTTACCCAAAGTAAAATGGCACGTTCCCTGTAAAAAGATGGCCATATACTCATCACTCCACATACACACATTTCCAACTCTCACATTCTCTTGGCGCTTACTCTCCTGTATATTTCTCAATCATAGTAAGATGCCCCACAGCTGTGCCGGGTCTGTAGAGAGCTGTTTTTGCCTTGATCAGTCCCATCTCTATTTGTTACAATCTGCCCTTCTAATTGGAGAAGCCAGTTTTGGTGTGGCTTCTTTTTGCTTTCGTTTGCTGCCTGAGCCAATAACTAATTTATAAGGAATCTCTTATCTGCATTACGTACATACATTTCTATATTTTAACATGACCACAATGCACATGTGCCAGGTCCATCTAAGATTAACCCTGCCTGCTGTAAACAAAGCAGTTTCAGCGAAACTGCTATGTTTACAAATGGGTTAATCCTGCCTCTAGTGGCTGTCTCATTGACAGCCGCTAGAGGCGCTTCCGAGCTTCTCACTGTGATTTTCACAGTAAGAAGATGCCAGCGTCCATAGGAAAGCATTGAGAATGCATTCAGCAGATGACGGGAATGGAGGAGGAGAGTCCCCGGTGCTGAGGGAGCCCGGTGCTGGAAAAAAGGTAAGGGATTAACCTCTTCCTCCGCCCAGAGCCCGGCGGCAGGGGGGCCTTGAGGGTGAGGGGGACCCAAGGATCCTATAGAGCCAGGAAAACAAGTATGTTTTCCTGGTACTATAGTGGTCATTTAACACAACCTGTGCTGCTTTTTTTTTTAGCTAGTAGAAAGTAATTTGTATACAATGTCATTTTATCCATCCCAATGGTTCTAATTTTATAATCTGCATTGATTAATTAAAATGCACATTTTAACAGTCTAAAATAATGTGTTTGCAATTTAATAACCCACCTAATGCAGCAAAGGTGTCTCTAAGATCGTTCTTGTCAATGAATCCATCTCTGTTCTGATCCATAATGGTAAATGCCTGTATAAAATACAAAGGTAAGTTACCTGAATGTTGGTTATTACCTACAACAATTCTCATTATATCTATTTATCAGTTATATATAGTTTTGAAAATGATAATTTGATACTTTTTTATATATTTAAAAGATAACAAGAATGTACTTAATATTAAAGCAATTTACGTGCTGCAGAATTTAATATAAATGTATAACTCAATAGTAACACGGCTGTTGCATAGTATTTTATTAACCTTCGTGGCATAATGGTTACTCTAACCCACAGCATTTTCGGTCCCATTATGCATAGGTTATTTACCTCCTTGAACTCCTGGATCTGGGTTTGCTCAAACATGGAGAATACATTGGAATTTGCACCTTCAGCTCTCTTCTTGGCTTTCTTGGGAGACTTCAGAATGGAAAATATTTGATTAGTCCAGCAGAACAAAATACAGAGTTACAGTTACACCATATTCTACAAATCATTTCTGATTTGCATAACATTCTTTCACTATCATGCTTTAACATCTGGTCATTATTTTGGTCATCGCAATAAATTCAAATTTTCTAACTATAGTCACAACTTGGCTATTTTACTCTTAAATTTGCAATTTGTATTTCAGCTCACTGTATCTCACTGTTTAATCAATTACCTTACTTCTACTGTGTTACTAAATCTTCTACTACTTTATATTATTATTATTGCCATTTATATAGCGCCAACAGATTCCACAGCGTTTTGCAATATTATAAGAGGGGGGATTTAACTATAAATAGTATAATTACAAGAAAACTTACAGGAACGATAGGTTGAAGAGGACCCTGCTCAAACGAGCTTACAGTCTATATATCTATCTCAATAAGCCAAGTATGCATTTAATCAACCTCTGACAAATGTTAATCTAATAATTAAGGCTATGGTAGAAAACTGCAATTAATAAAACTGAAAGGTTTGTAAATGGAAAGGGTTGGACATTTGTTTTAATAACCAGTAATAGTACGATACTTTGGTACAATGAAAATGCATTGATTCTGGAAGATAGTGTCTCTTTTACATATAGTATTACAATACACCTGTATTATTCTACAGAGTCCATTCATCAGGTGTATTCTACTTTACACTAGATTCTATTCTAAGATGTTGAGATTGATCCTCAATTGGAAACTGATGGGATGTTGCTATTGCAGGAATTCCTGCATAAAGATAAAAAATACAAACCAAAGACAGGACATATGCATCAAGCAGTCATTACTCACATCTTATTCATTAAAGAAAATAAATGGATACATGCTCTGTTCACCTTTCATTCTTTAATATTTCAAGAAAAGCGATGATATTACATTATTATTTTTCATTGAATCACTAGATCTCACAAATTCATTTACAGCAAGCTATGATAAGGCCAGAATCCATGTGAGAACCAGTTCATGAGTTCATGAAAGAGGAGGAGAGCGTGTGTCTGCTATACAATGTAAATTGTATTTGCTTAACAAACATTAAAAGTTAAACAGTGAGTGTTTAGCTGGAGATTGTAAACTAGCCTTTAGTCTATGTAAACTCCTAAATCAACAGTTCAGTTATTTCAATGGTAATTAGGTCAGTTTCACCTAACGCTGTATACAATCACTTCAAGACTACAAGGATATATCTAACTCGTTAAAAGGATACTTTGAGTGTTTTACTTTAACTATGATGCTCTGCACACCAATCTACTCAGGAGAGATCTTTTTGAGAAAAGTTTCTCTTCCATAAAATACATTCATTTATGCATTTTGTCAATAATGGTCTATAGGTACTGTGTGTTGAGTTTACTGTTTCAGAATGAATCTACTTCAAAATATCTCCTGTTGTATTAAATGTTATATGCAGTTGGGTCAGTTATATTTATCTTTAAATACGTTTTTTAACCACAGACCTACAGTTTTACAGGTCTGACTAAGGGGTTTATTCACTAAACAGATTGTAACTAATAGACAACCAAACATTTGGGCTAAAATATCCAAACTGTGACTATTGGGGAGTTAAAGCATTTTTCCAGATCACCTGTTTTTTTCTTAATTTTACCATATGAATTTAAATTTGTTATAATTCAAAGTATAGTGATTGAACCAGATAGGTTTGATTTATACATTTTCTTAACAGAATCTCTAGGTGTTATTAAAGTACAGTGCCAAGGATTTCCAAGAAAGGAGCACACAAATGTGGCTAGGGGGAGTAAGAGATACACAAAGTGGCATGGTGGGCAGAAAGAGACAACGGGGCTGGGAGAGAAAGAGACACACAAAGGGATGGGGGTGGGGGTAGACAAATGGACTGGGGAAGAAAGAGACACAGAAAGGGAATGAGAGTAAATAAGAGATACATAAAGAGTCTGAAAAGAGTAAGAGACACAGGGGGTTAAAAAAACACAGAAGGGGTGTAGGACACAGAAAAGCGGAATATGATACACTAAAGGGGGTAAGATGTTCAAAAGAGGTGATAAAAAACACAAAAGGGGGTAAGAACCTCAACCTGTGGGTGAAAAAAAATAGACAGGTGCAGCCTGGCGGGGAGATGCCTTGGCAACTCCAGTGCCATGACTCTCGCAGATCATACCCTACACTATACTCATGGTTTTAATGTTGCACAAGTTTATTGTTTAATCTGTGTGCTCTCAGGCACGTTTTTTTTTCACCCATTAAGCTTACTGTCTAATTGACAGGCCACTGACCTTAAGTCCATCAACCCTAAACATCCCCCCTCCTCACCCTCTAAGCTGCCATTTACACTACCAGGGTTATTTAGCCTCTGTAGCTCTCACGGCAGTCCCTACCTAATTCTACCCTCTGTAGTACAAAGAGGCATATGGTGCTCCAAGTCCTTAAGCAATGAGAAGCAAAAGTCACAATCAACTCTACTATGCTTAGTAACCACTATAAATGTCACAGTTCCAATCTTTAATGTTTATCTACACTGTATGCAATGCTGTGGCATTGTCTCTTTTTGCACCAACTGCTTTGGTTTCTATATATTATTTACAAAAAATAAATGAGGTAGACCATAACGAGAGTTCTAAGCTCACACGCATATCGCTACCGAAATACTCATGTTCACCTCCCGTACATGTAATGCTAGGTTATACACATGTATGTTCATTTACTATGACTCTCTTTGGCATGTCACCGTTTGTCTTCTGCCTCAATAAAACAAAGATTGACAAAAAAAAAACAACAACAAATACACAGGTGGAGGTGCATTTTTTTAAGGGGGTGGGGGGAAATGCATCTCCACCTGTGTGACCTTAAATCCCTGCACTGGCCCTGCTTGTCCTGTTCTTCTACAGGGCTGATGGCAGAGCATTGTCAGAGTTGGAGTTATATAACAACTGAGTATTTACCTGTGATCACCTGTGTTCTACTAACTCTACCGTGAAGGTTTTCCATTACAATTTTAAATGGTCCAGTTTATCATTAATCAGTTACTAGTCACCAACTTTAAATTGGATTAAGTTGCTTTAAGAATTATGCTAAAACATAACTGTAGCTGAGATATTCAGATATCATTTGTACATAAATGCTGGCGAATATTAGTACCTGTATATTTGTATCAATAAATGCTCTATATTTCTTACAAATAGTGAAATTAATATTCTCAGGCTGAGCTATAGCAGGCAGTGATGGCTAACCTTCTAGCTAGTTTTGGTTATTTTGCCCACAAATTAACTTTTCCGTCCTATGTAAAACAACCAAGCGTCACACATTACATTGCAGCTTTAGATATTTACACAAAATGAGACCAAACAACATTTTTATTCAAACTTGCCTCATCAACCATGATAATTTCCAAGAAAAAAAACATTTATAATGTATAAGTTTGATATAGTCAGGGTGACATGTAATAGATGTTAATCACGGGGCAGGATAGAGTAAATAGAGGGCAAAATCAACTACTAACATATACAGTCTTTTTTTACATTGTTTTAAAGAGTTTTTTTTACATTGAAGTCAACTACCACATGATGATGATACACAGCACAGGGATGGCAAATACCCAAGCGGCTCCCTTCCTATGGAATAGCCTGCCTACCGCCATCCGACTCTCCCCTAGTCTTGCATCTTTTAAGAAGTGCCTTAAAACCCATCTCTTTAGGAAAGCTTATGGCCTCCAAGACTAACCCCTACCTCACATACCCATCTCTTGCCCTCTCCTAAAGGGCAGCCCACCTTATTTGATTGTACATTCCTGTCCTAATGTGTCTTACACCCCACCTCCTATAGAATGTAAGCTCGATTGAGCAGGGTCCTCTTCAACCTATTGTTCCTCTAAGTTTATTTGTAATTGTCCTATTTATAGTTAAATCCCCTTTCATAATATTGTAAAGCGCTACGGAATCTGTTGGCGCTATATAAATGGCAATAATAAATAAATAAATAAGAGCATTTCACCTGAAATTAAATTTTTATCACATATGCAATCCTAATTGGATTTTAGGTTCATAGAACAGCTGTTAGTAGATTTTCCCTCATCACACATTAAACAGACATTTTGACAGAGTGGGTACATTCATTCTTTCAACTGAAAGGTAGAGTTATGAATTTGGTGAATACAGAGTGTAATGGAGGTCATTCATGCACTTTGATCGTTTCAGTCATGGTCCTCAGGTCTCTGACAAAGTTTCAGCACTTAAGAATCTCTCCTAATGACTATAACAGAGATCAAAACTGGTGCTTTCGCTTTTGTTGGACTATAACTCCCATCTTGCAGCCTGGGTCTTGAAGAGAATCATGGGATTTGTAGTCCAAGAAAATCTGGGGTGTGGAGTTAAGCACTTCTGGATTAGAACAGAATTTCAGCTTTGAACTGGGACATAGTCTCCTATTAGACTGATATGTCAAAATGTATTTTGTCTTGTATTCCCAAGCTACTGCAAACTCAAATTGTACTACATTATGGACTATGTTGAGTTTACAAGAATAAATAAACATCATATAGCTAATTTTATACAGAGATTGTATGCAGAAAATTAATGCTGCGTGGACAAAATAAAATCATTGCTGCCTTTCAGGATGCACCTTGTATAATTCTCCTTAATAAAATAGGTAGTATATAAGGTTTATAAAACAATGCTAATATGTCTACAATGATTGCAACAGTCATTTGAAAAGGGAAATGCATGTACACCCATCCCAACCACTATGAACAATAACATTGTAACATTCAGACATCAGTTTTATTATCCATCCCATATGCTACATGAATAAAAATATAATAATGCATTTATCGAACCACTGTATATTGTGATCCATCCTCCTTAAATTGTGCATCCACCCTCCCTTGTATTTTTAATATTCCTTTTGTAATTATTCTAACACACTTTAAATGTTAGACCTTGACATCTCTCATTCCTGTTTGCTTATATTGTTTTTTTCTGAATTGTAAATAACTCTGGGATACATTGGTGCATTATATAAAAAAAAAGTATATAATAATCCCACTAGGCTTTACTTACCATTGTTGAGTTGCTTTGTGTGATGTTAAAGACAGTGAAATTCCAAGGCCAGATCCCAGGGCACTGCTCGGCCAGACAATAAATACCCCCCAAACCAGTTATAAATAAACTCATGCCCACTTTTGGCAGTGGAGGGTAGGTTACCTCCAGCCTTTCCCTTGTCTTTAGTCTTGACACATTGTTGTGAAGTCTGATGATATGTGAGACAAAAGAAATTCTGAAGGTTACAGAAACCCAATGCTTCTCCGAGGGCCCCAACCCATATGTGATCTTATTTAAAGTAACAATACAGCAGCAGATGGTCAGAGCACTACAAATACAATTGCTGGTGGATCTAAAGATGTAATAGTATTTGAAAGTACATGTAATATTGCAACTTTTTTACTCTGTGCCATAACTCTTTATTTACTATTATGTATTTTAACTATTCATAGCAATTTCACTGAAAGACAGAGCTTTATGAACGCAAATGCATACTTAACCCTTTAAGGACATATATATATTCATAAAAGACTTGAGGTTCCAGGATTATTAAAATTGAATTTATTATCAGCTGTTTGGATTGTCACCCAGGAGACATCTGGATATAGCTTTATTATAAGGTCACTCTTAGCCAAGTAATCATTACAGGTCAGTGTACTTACTGCACTGCCAAAAGTCTATGGGTACGATTCCCTTTTTTTATTTTCTGTCAAAGACAATTTGACAAAACGAACACTTTCCTGCAACTGCTACATTTGATTAAATCTGTAAAACCTGAATGACGTGAAAGGCTGAGAGCTCTGATGCGGGGTGGGGGGGGCGGGGGGGGAGTAGGTTGTTAATTTCACACCGTCAAGTCCCTTGGAGAGAGGTTGGGCTCTGGATGCTGAGAAGAGTTCTGATTTTTGACAAACTACTTCAAAATGGTTTGTCGAAGAATAGAGTACAATGCTTATCTTTAGAAAACACATCAGACTCCTGGCAGCATAATCATTACACAGAGCTGTAACAATATTGTTGCATAGAATATTTCAAGTCAATGCTTGATCTCGCTATGAGCATTGCTTCTTCTACAACAAAGGCTCTTTGAATCCATCAAAAAAAGGTAATTATTAAATTATTATACCTTAAATGAACATTATAGGGTTAGAAACACAAATATGCATTCCTGATCCTATAGTCTTAAAATTACTATCTAGGCCCCCTGGCTCCCCTTGCCCCCCTAAATATAGTATATTTTTATCTTATTTCCAGCGTCACATGGATCCGCTGGCACTGGTCCACCCCCGATCCACCTTCTTGGCTGACATCAGAAGTGATGATCAAACTCCATCCTGGCCACTCAGCATCTCCTCATAGAGATGCATTGAATCACAGCCTCTCTATATGCAGAGCGTGGAGACGCTGAACATCGGTACTGCACACTATGCAGAACTGATCCAGGAAGAACCTCTAGTGGCTGTCTGAGGAGTGGCCATCAGAGGTGTCCCTAAGCTGCAATGTAAACAATGTATTTTCTCTGAAAAGGCAGTGTTTACAACAAAAAGCCTGCAGAGACACGGTATAGACACCAGAACAAGTACATTAAGCTGTAATTGTTCTGGTGACCAACGCTGTATTTAGTGCAAGGCAACAAGGCATTTGCCTAGGGCAGCACTTTCCTGGGGGGGCGGCAAAAAACGCCACCCCCAAACGCCTCAGCAGGAGGGCGGCAGTGCTAATTCTGGGCAGGCGGCGAGGGAGCTCTGATACCTGTAATCTTCTTGCTCACAAGCCTTGTGGTGAGGCTGGGATATGACGTCACTTCGGTCCAGGTATCCCTAAACTGTGCGCCAGGAGCAAGGCAAGAAGATTTCAGCAACTTGGACCCTAGGGAACAATCCACAGGTAGGGAGGCTGGAAATTAAGAATAACATTTGTGTGTGTGTTAGTCTGTCAGTGAGTGTGTCTTTCAGTATCAGTGTGTCTGTCCCTCACTGTGTGTGTCTGTCAGTAACTGTGTGTATCTGTTAGAAAGTGTGTGTCTGTCAGTGAATGCGTGTGTCTGTTGGTCAGTGAATTTGTGTGTGTGTGTGTGTCTGTTTGTCTGTGAGTGTGTGTGTCGGTGTAAGTATCAGTGAGGGCATGTGTCTGTCAGTCAAAGTGTTTGTTGATCCTCAACAGGAAGAGGTGTGGCCTTGACAGGAAGGAGAGGGGCAAATTTAGATTGGGGGGTCCCCCAGGTTAGTCATGCCTAGGGCAGCAGGGAACCAAAATACACCACTGCTGGTAAATATAGTGTCCCTTTAAGCAACTGAGTGTCTTTTCAATGAAATCCTTGCTTCTATGGCCTCTCTATTTTTCTCTTTCCTCTTAGGAAACCTGTTCCAGAGGGAAGTGATGGAACCTGATGCCTATATTAAACTACAACTATCACCTCAAAACAATTTTTTAATATATAATCCTTTCATCAAGTTCATCAGCTTCCCAAACTTTGGGCAGTCTTCTTAATCGACATGATTTTTTCACGTCTTCTCAATCAACATGATTGTCCTATTTTTTTAGGTCCTATCACGCTTCCTCGACTTTGTTCCCTAGTGTCCTTCTTTTGGGAATACCAGGGAACTGTCCCCAACAAGAAGAGAGTTAGTGCATCATTAGACACGCTTTTGCTATGTTTATTGCATTAGGACCCTGTTGTCAGTAGCTCTGTACTTACCTTGGTGGCCTGCCGGTTAGCTGTTCCTCCGACCCAGCGGACCTCTGCTTCCACACAGCCTGCTGCTTCTGTGTCATGATGTCAATAGACCTCTGTGAAGAAATCCCTCTTTTAAGTGCAATATTTCTTCCCTATTCATTCGGTAGATGTAACTACCGAACAGAGACCACCCACTGGCTCGTTAAACTTCAAAGAGTACCTCAATTGAACCCTCTATCTGTGCAGCCAGCGTCCGTACTACAGAACACCACGTGGCTGAGAAAACGTCGGCCATCTTTTTTCATGTGAACAAAGGCAGCGGGACTTGGTCGTCGAGTGTCTGGAACTAAAATCGGACACTCGACTTCCCGAACACCGGTCTGATCAAGCGAACGCTGGATCTTTATTTCCCTAACAGCTAGAAGAGCGCCGTTCGGTACTTTTGTGCATTCGAATGAGGGGAACAATCGCTGCTAAGAGCCAGGGGAATCCATTCGTGGAATTATTTGGTTTTTGAATAGACCGGCAAAACTATCCAAACTCCTGGAACTATTTTGGGAAGTCACCTCGCGGTTAGCCGGTCACAAAAGACTTCCATACTTTTTGAGAACCCCTGAACCGATCTGGGTGAAATGTGAATATGTTGGTCACTCAGATCGGGGCTATCAGGGGACATATTGTTTGTGGGGATACCATATGCCTAAAGGGGTGTTCTGAATATTGGGGAACATTTTAATTTTTCTGCCTGGAGATAAGCAACTTATTAGTTTATCAGACTTGATTATCTCCAAGACTAGGGCAGGGAATTGTATGTTTGTGTGGGGAGTGTTTTAAGTTTTTCCTGTAAATGATTGGTTGTACTGTGTCCCTCCCTGTGGGATGTCCCCTTGCATGGGAACTTGCATAAAAGCCAGTGTGGGGTCATTAAAAGCCAGTTCTGCTGCACCCTTCTTCTAGATTTCGGCTGATGTTTGGGGATTCGTATGCTTTATTAAGGGAATCATCTTGTAAAGCTATTGTATTCATATGGATTTCGTTTATTTTATCTACTGAACGGAGAGCTATAATCACTGATGCTCTGGCGGCTCAGGAGGAAACTGCCGAATGAGGATTGGATATCCTAGGTTTCCTTACAACCTAGAAGGACTAGAGGTCAACATGCTCACATTTTGCGGGCATGGTTACGCTAACCACACCCCAAACATATAAATCACAGTTAGCCCAAGCCCGTGGCCTGTTGTGGTTCCTAGACTTTCTAGTGTCTCAATAATGAATTCCTTTGTCATATTGTATTTTGGTATTGACCCAGCTTCTCTTGACTACTCTGTTTTTCTGTTTCCCTTGACTCGGCATGTCTTTCATCCATGGGCCAGCCACCTGGTCGTGTCATTTGACTTGTGAGCTGGTATTTGGTCCGCCAAATGAAATTATCAGCCTTACGTGTTTCTTATTATTATTATTATTATGGTATTTATATAGCGCCATCAAATTCCGCAGCGCTTTACAATGGGTGGACGAACAGACATGTAGTTGTAACCAGACAAGTTGGACACACAGGAACAGAGGGGTTGAGAGCCCTGCTCAATGAGCTTACATGCTAGAGGAAGTGGGGTAAAATGACACAAAAAGGTAAGGATAGTATTAGACTAGTGACAGCTGCAGAACAGGAATCAGTCAGGAGCTATTAACAGTTTAATTGATACACTTTTATGAAGAAGTGGGTTTTTAACAGTTTTTTGAAGGAGTTGAGACTGGGTGAGCATCTAACGGAGGAGGGAAGCGAGTTCCACAGGAACGGTGCAGCCCTTAAGAAATCTTGAAGGCGAGCATCAGAGGTGGGAGTACCGACAGAAAATAGACGTAAGTCTTCAGCAGATCGTAAGGGCCTAGACGGGACATACTTGTGTATAAGGGAGGATAGATAGGTGGGAGCAGCATTATGTAGTGATTTGAAAGCAAGAACCAGAATTTTAAATTGAGCTCTATATTTTATAGGAAGCCAATGTAGGGACTGACAGAAGGGTGAGGCATGGGAGGTGCGGGCGGACAAGAAGATGAGCCTCGCTGCCGCATTCATTATGGACTGTAACGGCGCAAGTTGGGAGCACCTAAGACCGCTGAGAAGTGGATTACAGTAGTCAAGGCGAGAAAGGACAGTGGAATGGACATACACCTTAGTCGCATCTGGCGTTAAGTAGGGGCAGATGCGCGCAATGTTTTTGAGATGGAAATTACAGGATTTGGCGATAGATTGAACATGAGGCTTGAAGGAGAGGTCGGCGTTAAAGAGAACACCTAGGCAGCGAGCCTGCGTGGTGGAGCTGATGGTAGCACCATTGACTTGGAGGGAGACAGACACAGGAGTAACAACACTTGAGGGAGGAAAGACCAGAATTTCAGTTTTGGTCAAGTTTAGTTTAAGGAAGTGGGCAGCCATCCAGTTAGAAACAGCAGAGAGGCAGTCAGAGACACTAGTCAAGAGGGACGGGGAGAGATGAGGAGAGGACAGGTAGATTTCTGTGTCATCTGCATAGAAATGATATTGGAAGCCAAAGGAGCTAATGAGTTTACCAAGGGAGGCAGTATAGATGGAGAACAATAGGGGACCAAGGACTGAACCTTGGGGGACACAAACAGAGAGGAGTTGGGGAGAAGAAGCAGAGCCAGAGAAAGAAACACTGAAAGAGCGTTGGGAGAGGTAGGAGGAGCACCAGGAGAGAGCAATCTTAGGGTTAATGCCCTACTTCTTCAGAGGCAATACTAGGCAGTACAAACTGGATGCAGATATATATAAGGATGGCCTCTCACAAGAACTATTCACAACGATCACAAACAACACAATCAGGTGGAACGCAGGCACAAGCGGCAGAGTGGAACGCACGCCGACTTGGCCTGCAGTACTGGACCAGTGCAGCAAGCGGAGTTATCCATCCCTGGGACTGCAGGATTCAGCCTGATGCTGGCTTTAATCCCCTGTTTGGCTCTCTTTTACATTTATCTCATGTGAGTGTTATAATGTTTTTCTGTTAATAAAGCTTAATCCATACAGTGAGCATTTTGGAATATCCTTTTAAATTTGGGTACCTTTGGCCACCCAGTGCAATTGTTTATCACTGCATACAGTTATTAAAAGCAGTCACTTTCACCATATTTGAATCCACTTCAGGATTATTGTAATTGCGCCATCTTCAGCGCTATATTGTCTTAGCCAGCAGGTCTATATGGGCATATACAGTATTTCCATCAATATTGTCATTTTGTCACTTCTCTTTGTGGCACCATATTGACCAACTTGCTATATATATTTATATATCTATTTATTTAGGACTACTTTTTTGGACTTGACTACTCTTTATTGTTGGACTTTATTACCATTCTGGACCTTTTAGTATTTGGCCTATTATGAAGTCTGGGTTTCCTTATTACTTTCCATATCCTGTGTGTGTGTGTGTGTGTGTGTATGTGTGTGTGTGTGTGTGTATATGTGTAAATATATATATATATATTTATTTATTTATTTATTTATTAATTTATCTGCATTTTGGCATATTTATATATTTACTTACCTTAGTATCCATGTTGCATATTTTATATCTTAATTGAGACTGTTTTAGTGTATAATTATGGGTTTTAAATAATTACATAGTTACATGACCCCAAAATACAGTAGCAGTCAGATGTCTCCTTGGATCAAGCAGCTATTACCCCACTAATTAGAAATTATATCCCTGTATGTTATGTTTTTGCAAGTATTTATCCAATTGCAGTTTAAACATCTGTATAGACTGACAAAACCACCTCTTCAGGCAGAGAATTCCATATCCTTATTGCTCTTACTGTAAAAAAAACCTTTTCTTTGCCTTTCTTCCAGCCTAAATGTGTGACCTCGTGTCCTATGTATAGCCCTGTTTATGAATAGATTTCCAGATAAAGGTTTTTTACTGGCCCGAATATATTTGTATAATGTTATCATATCCCCTCTCAGGCGCTGTTTTTCCGAACTAAACAGATTTAAATTTGTTAACCTTTCTTCGTAACTAAAATGCTCCATTCCTTTTGATCAATTTTGTAGCTCGTCTCTGCACTTTTTCTAGTGCCATGATATCTTTCTTTAGAACAGGTGCCCAAAATTGCACAGCCAGGGCCGGCCTTAGGCCATTAAGCGCCCTGTGCGAAAAGTCTTCATGGACCCCCCTACCAAGATGCCTGTATACAGTCACACACACAGGCACAAGCAGACAGTCACACAAACAGTTACAAGCAGAATCAGACATGCTCAGTTACAGGCAGACAGTCACACACACACACACACACACACACACACACACACAGTTACAGGCAGACAGTCACACATGCTCAGTTACAGGCAGACAGTCACAGAGCCAAACACACAGTTAAAGGCAGACAGGCATACAGTCACAGGCAGACAGTCACACACAGTCACAAGCAGACAGTCACACATACTCCATTACAAGCAGACAGTCATACACACTCTGTTACAGGCATGCAGACACTCACGCACTATGATAGGCACATACACACTCAGTTAAAGGCAGATAGTCACACATACAGGCACAGGCACACACAATGGCACAGCTACAGCGACACACACAATTGGAGTCACACACAGGCAGACAGTCACACACACACACACACACAATCCTTCTCGTGTGTGGTCATCCCTAATTCACTACCACTTAGGGTATAAATTGCTTGTGCATTCTTAACCTCAAAGTGCATAATTTTGCATTTCTCTACGTTAAATTTCATATGCCATTTTAGTGCCCAGTCCCCCAATCTATCCAAATCCCTCTGCAGCAAAGCAATATCCTGCTCACATTTTATTACTTTACAAAGTTTTGTGTCATCTGCAAACACTGATACATGGCTTTCAATGCCTATTTCAAGATCATTTATAAATATGTTAAATAAAAGCGGTCCATTTGCATATATCTTGCCATAGGATCCTCATTAATATATACTGAAGAAAAATAGTTATTTAAAATTTCTGCTTGTTCCTGGTCTTCATTAGCTAACAAACCCATCTCTGTTTCCAGTGTACATACACTTTTATTTTTTGCTTTTTTGTAGAATTGAT